GTCCCCCTGCATTTCTCCCTACCAATGTATGCTGAACAAAAGCATGTGTTTTTTTAAGATGTAGTAGCTAGAGTTAGTGTCTTATAATTTTCATGTGCCCATTTAGAATGGGAATAAAGTTTCTAATGTAATTTACATGGGCTAAAGAAACATCAAGAAAAGAACCTTTGAGTGAATATAAGGTAAGAATCATGCCATATATTCCTTGCCTCATTGAAAAGAAACATCCAGAAAAGAAACTTTGAGTGAATATAGGGTAAGAATCATGCCATATATTCCTTGCCTCATTCATTGCAGGTGCTCCTTAGATTGTCATTAATGATTTATTATACTTAAGATATTTAGATCATCCATAAAAAGGACATTTAGCCCTGCATGGATGGCTCAGTTCATTGAAGTGTTGATGCATACATCAAAGGCTGTAGGTTCAACTCCACATCAGGGCACATGCCTAAGTTTTAGGCTCCATCCCTGCTCAGGTGAGGTCAGGAGGCCACTGATAGATGTTTCTCCCACATTGATGTTTCTCTCTCTCCCCCTTCCTCTCTCTCTAAAAATCAATGAAAGCATATCCTTGGGTGAGGATTTTTAAAAAAGGACATTTACTCTAAGAATAACTATATGACTATTGTAATTAGAATCCTAACATTAAATCATCTAAATGCTGGGAAGGTTTCTTAAATGAAAATATTCAAATTATGGTAAGATGTACATCTTCATACATTGTTAATAGAGGAGTAAGCTGCTACCACATTTCTAGGATACACACTAGGAAAAATAATACACGTCTTGTAAGCCTCTCATCTTCAAGAGGGTAATTTCACTTCTAAAAATCTATCCCAAAAAGCTATTGAAAATGGAGATAAGTATTAGTAAGTGTTTGCAATGAAATATGAGAAACAATCTAAATGTCAAATGAAAATAATTGAGTAATTAGGGGGTAGCCACACACTAGAATATTTTACACCTGTGAAAAAAGTATTTAAGAATTGTTAATGATATGGGAATTTGCTCATAATATAAAGCTAGGTGAAAAAGTTGGATAGAAATGAGACTTCTGTATAAACACCTCAATGCATACACACATATAGATTTTAAAAAAACTGGAAGAAAATTATCTATATATCAATAATGGCTATTTCTAAAGAATGAGAGTATAGGTCATTTTAATGTTTTCTTCATATTATATCTAGAAAATTTTCTACAATAAACGTTATTACTATTATTTACATACTTAGAAAATGTATTTCATGTAAATATGTGGAAGAATAATTTAAAAGTTTAAGGTGGCATTATGCATTTGAATAAGTGATATGTCACCGTGTAAAGAAATATACTAATTTGATGATGAGTGTAAACAAATATGAGTGGCATCGGTATATAAAAGCTTAACAAAATCCTTTTATCTTTACTTATTAATAGACATACCAGTAAATAAGATTTACTTGGAACTTAAAGCAAGTCTAATTTATGAGTCCATATTCAATCACTTTTTGCACCTTTAACCTCCTTTTATTGTAAACTTTTCACATGACTTCTCTGACACAACTCAATTCTATTTCAACTCCTAATTAACTAACCTTTCCTTCTCAATCTTCTTCACGGGTCCTTCCTCTTCTACCCACTCATAAAGATTCATAATCTTTCCAGTCCCATTCTCTGCTTTTTTCTGGCCTTGGCATAACTAAGCCTTGGCCATGATTCAATTCCTAAGTTCTATATTTCAACAATTCTAAGACATTTATTTTGTACATTTAAAAATCTCTGTCTTTCCCGGACTCAAGGGTCCCGGGTTCGATTCTGGTCAAGGGCATGTGCCTTGGCTGCGAGCACATCCCCAGTGGGGGGCGTGCAGGAGGCAGCTGATCGATATTTCTCTCTCATCGATGTTTCTAACTCTCTATCCCTCTCCCTTCCTGTCTGTAAAAAAATCAATAAAATATATAAAAAAATAAAATAAACAAAAATAAAATAAAAATCTCTGTCTTACAATGGATACTGTCTCAATCAATGAAATGTGAAGGCATATGCCAACCCTAAGCTTGTCTTCCAGCCCTAGTAACTTATTTACAGCTGCAGAATGGATATCTGTGAGTATAGATCTCAGTTTTAAAATTTAACATGTATAAGGTAGAACTTTGCCTTTTCCTCCCGCTTTTAAAGCATTGCCACCCAATAAACTTCCTAGGCTAACATATCAACATCATCTGCAAATCTCTTCTTAAATATTCATCCCTGCTATCCATTATATCAATATATTATATTTTTTTCCTCAAAATAGCTTTTTCTTCTTTAATTTATAATATAATTATTTTTCATTTTTATTATGTTCACACGAGTAATTATAAAAGGGTATAAGCAAGAGATTTCTCTGTCTTTTAAAAAAATCACAATTAGTGGTGTGTGTTTTTTGTGTACCTCATCCTTGTTAATAAAGATTTAAGCATATACCATAATATTTCTGTACTAGTTTACCAGGGCTGCAGTAACAAAATACCACAGATGTTTACATCTATTGGCTAGGAGTCCAAGATCAGTTGTCACCAAGATTGGTTCCTTCTAAGGGTTATGAGCAAAGGATCTGTCCCAGACCCTTCTCCTTGACTGTAACTGGCCAACGTTTTTCTGTGTCTTCACATCATCTCTCTTTGTATATATCTGTGTCCGAATCACTTCTTCTTTATAAGGACACCAGACTTATTGGATTAGGGTCCGCCTGAATGAACCCATTTCAATTTAATTACCACTATAGAGACCCTATCACCAAGTACAGTCACATTCTGAGGCACTAGGGCTTGTAACTTCAACATAGGAATTTTTGAGAGATCACATTCAACCCGTAACAGTTTCCTCTACAAAACTGACAATATAACACAAACACTGCTGTGCATGCTAGGGAGGGCTCTTGTTCCCGATTCTCTTCTTCATCACCACTGTCATGTTTCATCTTTTTCATGAATTGTTCTAGCAAACTTTTAACAGAACTTCTTGCCATTGTTTTTTTTTTTTCTTTCTACAGGCCTATTCTCTAAACAGGTACCAAAATTAACTTCATAGAAAACAAATCTTGTCATATCACTTCCTCCGTTTAAACACCTGCACTATCTTCAGAATAAAATGTCAACTGATTTTTAAGAATGAATGAGTTCTTTCAAAATATAACTCAACCTTCCCACTTCCTTTGTGCATCTAAATTCTAGTTACACTGAATTTTCCCCCATGCTTCCCAAATACTATCCTTTATAAGTGCCGACTACCTAACCATTCATTCTTCATGCTGGAGCTCATATGTCATATTCTTTATGATTTTCCCCCTTATTCCCACCAATACCAACCATTCCCTTCCTTAGGAATTCAAACAGTATGTATCTTTATTATAGCACTTACTCATTAATTGCATTATCTTATTTTCACACTTATCTCCTAAAGTCAAAA